ACGGTTTTACGCTGGAAGGAGTCACGGCAAGGCTCTGGAATTCGAGGTGCTTCCAGCTCCAGGCAGAAGCTGGTTGAAAACACGGGGGTTCTGACAAATCTGGAGAGCAGCCCGTGCTCTGGGTTTGACACAGAATATAGGAAAGGAGAAACAATAGGAAAATCTGCCCTCTGAGGTCCCGCAGAGAGCAAGGGCTTGATTTGGACCAGCAGGACACCTTCTCCTCTAACACAGGTGAGGGGTGCAACCCTCCTGCTGCTGAAGGAGACAACGCCAGCAGGGCCCAGAGCTGGGTTTGCACACATCTCAGAGGCCTCTGGACACAAACTCCCTGGTGGCTCACCTGAGGTTCCCTTTGTTGGTGGCGTATTTGATGTGGTTGCAGATGTAGTTGAACATCCCGTGGGCTGTGGTGCAGTCCCGGGCATCAAACACCTGGAAGAGGGGAAGGGACTGTGGTGATGCTGCAGGATACTCCAAGGGCAGAGCCAGGCAGATGGAAACACAGCACACGGAGAACTCTAGACACCACTGCGGCTTCTTAGGGATTTAAAGATCCATAATTATGTGTTCTCTGCCTTTAGAACACGTGGATGTGTAATCCAGCTGCCCCTTTTGCTTTGGAGAGGTGAGTCATCTGCTGCTCAGGCAAAAACCTCCTCATTCCAGTGCTCCCAACCTGCTGCTGTCCCTGCCTTATCCAGCAACGATTTTGGGCTCTGCTCTGTTCCTCCTGTAGATCAACACTCAAAGGTGAAATAGGATAGGGGTCGGCCAGGTCTGAGGGACAGGGTGTCATGAAATCATAGAATGGTTTTGGGTTGGAAGGGGCTTTTAAAGAGCATCTCATTCCACCCCCTGCCACGGGCAGGGACACCTTCCAGCAGAGCAGGTTGCTCAGTGCCCCATCCAACCTGGCCTTGGACACTTCCAGGGATCCAGGGGCATCTACAAGAGGATGGGGAAACCAGGAAAGAGGATCAGCAGGAAGCTTGAAGTTCTTGCAGGAATGCCCCCCCCCCCCCAAGGCTCAGATGTGCCCAGAGAAACTGTGGATGAGCTGAAAGCTGAGCTGGGAGCAAAGGAGGCCCAGCCCCCCGGGCAGGCTGTGCCCACACTCTGTGGGAAGCTCCACGAGAGCTCCTCAGCAGCACTGGAGCTGGGCTCCAAGACACAGCAGGAGTTGTCATCTCTGTGCCAAGGGATTCCACTCGAGATCACTAATCCCCAGTCTGCTCTACGCTCCCACCAGGCAGAAGGGCACTGAGCCAAACCCTCTCCCGCTGTAGCATCTCTGTACCAGGGGTGAGCGTGTCCTGCTGCCTCTCTGCAGGCACAGCAACAGTTCTGGAAGCAGCAGGGGAGATACCAGAGCACTGTCTGATTTTGGAAAAAGTTCCCAGAGCGCCAGCCCCATTTCAGACCCCTCAGCTACACCAGCCCCACCGATGCTTTTCCATCTCCCGCCGAGTTCCCAGGCTGTGCACCCCCAAAGCTGCTGCTGTGTGATGAACACCTGCTGCTGTACCTGTACTGTGCTTTCCCAGGTGTTTGAAGAGCAAGATTTGCCTCTCCACAGCTCCAGTGCCCCCTCTTTACCTGCAGCTTGGACCACTGGATCCTGCCCACGCAGCGGGCTGCGTTCCTCCAGGCGTGCTTGGCTCCGTAGATGAGCTCGGTGTCCCGCAGCTGGTAGGTGTCAGTGGCTTCAATCTCCTTGGTCACCTCCTCCAGCCTTTCCATGTGGGCCTTGGAGCCAGATCTGGGTGGGTGGGGAGCAGAGGAGGTGGCAGTTTGGGTGCTCTCCACCCGGGCTTGAGTTCTTCCCTCCTTAAGCACGTGTGTGCTCACACACACACACATGTGTGCTCTCTCACACACACACACACACACATACACACACACACACACGTGTGTGCTTTCAGGTAAGAGATGACCAAGGACAAGTGGGAGAGGTCAGTGGTTGGCACAGACACACAGCAAAACCAAACACTACGAATGAAACTCCACTGAAGAAGCAGCTGCTCGTGGGGCACCGGAGTCTCACCCTGCTTTGACTCACAAGTGTGAAAGACTGGACCATGGAATCATTGAATGGTTTGGGTTGGAAGGGACCTTAAAGATCATCTCATTCCAGCCCCCTGCCATGGGCAGGGACACCTTCCACCAGCCCAGGTTGCTCCAAGCCCCGTCCAACCTGGCCTTGGACACTCCCAGGGACCCGGGGCCAGCCACAGCTTCTCTGGGCAACCTGTGCCAGGGCCTCCCCACCCTCACAGGGGTGAATTTTTTTCCTAATATCTAATCTAAACCTACTCTCTGTCAGTGTGAAGCCATTTCACCTTGTCCTGTCACTCCAGGCCCCCTGCAAATAATCTCTCTCCATCTTTCTCCCTTCAGGTACTGGAAGGTCACCCTGAAGCTTTCTCTTCTGCAGGCTCAACAATCCCCATTCTCTCAGCCTTTCCTCATAGGAGAGGCACTCCAGCCCTCTAATCATGCTGGTACCTCCTCTGGACTCTCTCCAACAGCTCCCTGTCCTCCCTGTGCTGGGGATGTAGAGCTTGAGGTGTCCCGTGTGACACCTCGGGCTGTGACCTTCTCCAGCCAGTCCTTACCTCTTTATGGAGGAGTAGTACTGGTCAATGAAGTCCTTGGCCAACAGGAGCACCTCCTCCTTTGTCCTGGTGTCCTCTGACTTGCGGATGTGAGGGCTGGGGGTCATCACTGAGCCCATGCAGATCTGCTCGGTGCAGGCGGTGGCCTGGAGGGACAGGGGGGGACGAGTGAGCCTGGGGTCACTGCAGCACTCCTGGTGACCTGAGCTGGGCTGGGGGAAGCCAGTGATTCCTACACAGAGGTTGGTGGTGTCTTTGGCCAACAGGGACATTTCCAACCTATTTGTCTCCACCCCTGTTGTTAAGGCTGGGTGAGACAGCTCAGCCACGTGCAGTCAGCTCTGCTCCCATCCAGCAAGGATGATCAGGGCTTGTGGGATTCTTGCCCCGGCTTGGCGTGAGGTCAAACGCTCTTTCTTATTTATCCCCGGTGGAATTCCCTCTCCCCCAGCTTATTGCACCACAGGTTTAAAATTCCAACCCTCCTGGAGACCAGACTGACCTGAACTCATCCCCTCCTGGAGACCAGACTGACCCGAACTCATCCCCTCCTGGAGACCAGACTGACCTGAACTCATCCCCTCCTGGAGATCAGACTGACCTGAACTCATCCCCTCCTGGAGACCAGACTGACCCGAACTCATCCCCTCCTGGAGACCAGACTGACCTGAACTCATCCCCTCCTGGAGACCAGACTGACCTGAACTCATCCCCTCCTGGAGACCAGACTGACCCGAACTCATCCCCTCCTGCATTTGCATTTCAAACCACCTCGGGGACGCCGTGATCCCCTCAGCTGTGCTCAGACAGCTTCTGGCCAGTCCCATCAGCTCTACTCACCATGGCAGTCTTGAGGTGCAGGGTGTCGTGGAGCACAGAGCCCGTCTCCCAGTTCTTGATCTTCACGAACCGCGGGCATTTGGAAGGGCTCCCGTTGGCCGTGTTCTTGGTCGGGGACTGACGCCCGGACGGAGGGGGCTGGACAACAGGGAACACCAGGAACAAGGTCAGGCACAGGGAAAGGTCACAACAACAGGCAGCATCTCGTGTTAGAGGATGCCTGTGCTTAAATTCCAGTGGTAACATAGCGAGATGAGGTGTGTTGTCCAAATATTTGGCGTTTTTTTGGGGATCCTACAACGGGGCAGCCAACTCTTAATGCAACTGAGAAGTCATGTCAGGTTATGGGACAGCCAAACCTGTAGAAGAGGAGGTGAAAACAGGGGTAGAACTGACTTAGAAGAATGCCTTGTGGAAGATCTCTGCACTGGATTGGGTGTTCCTTTCCAAGCAGCATCACCTGCCCAAGTTCTGCCTCACTGGTCGGAGCACTGTGAGACAGAGCTAACAGCTGGTCATTCCTCTGAGCAAGCCAAAGGCACTTCTCCTTTGATAGCAACCCTGGAAGATCCTAGGAATAAGGATGGATAAATTACCATGCTGAGTCACGCATGGTTGGATACCTCAGCTCAGCTCAGCCTCCAGCCCTCCCTGGTGCTCTGCTGGGTGTGCTCAGCCAGCACTTCAAGAGGTCTGTGCCAACAGGAGGAGAGTCTCAGCCAGCACAGAGATTGTGAGGAGAAGAACTGGTTACAAGTGCTTCTTTTTGAGTGTTTTCACTGATAAAATCTGAATTTTATTCCGTGGCCCTCATTCACCCCAAGCACGTAGAAGCTTAAAGAGCACTGGGTGTCTGCCAGCGTGCCGTGGGACAGGGAGCTCTGGAAATGTTTCTCCTTGGAATCAAGTCTTGCAGTAGGAGGTAATTCCATCACTGTGACCACAATGCTGTTGCTGCAGGTCTCAGGGGGAGATCTGTTCCACCCCAGAGCATCCTGGCAAACCCTGTTTGTATTTGGCACCACTTCAGGATTAAATCTCTGCAAATTATCCCTGAGCCTGGACCGAGTTTGCTGTACCCTTCCTACATGAATCCCGTGGCTGGTGTCCCTTCCTGATCCATCTGTGAGGGTTTTTTGGAGATGGCACTGCCCTCAGCAGAGCTGTGCAGAGTCTCACCTTCCTTTTTGGGGGTTCTGGGCCCATGTCACAGTTGCACTGGCAGCAACAGCACAAATTCAGTGTTACACACTGGAAGAGCAACCAAGGAAGAGCCAACACAGGGTGGAAGAAGCTCTTGGTTCAGGAGGGAAAGCAACAGGAGCCACGAGGATGACAAAGCAGGTGAGGCTCCAGATCTGACTGGCTCCTGCTTTGCCAGACAGAGGATTGCTCTGCTTTCCCAAAGCAGGGAGAGATCCATGCCTGACTGATCCCTGAGGGCTGTGCTGAGCAGACACCTCTGCACTGCCCTGGTGGCACTGTTGGCCAGAGTTTTTGCCCAGTCCTTGTTTTTACCATATGCTCCAGACTCCTTTTTTTTCCTGGAAAACAGGGATTTTTACAGTCAAGCAGCCTGAGGCTCACAGTGTGATACCCATGCACTGAAAGCACATGCTGGGAACAAGGGACAGAGGCTGGAGGGGCAGGGAGAGATTTACAGCCTGACCCTCTGGGCTGTGCTGCCATGGATCTCCATGACATTCCTCATGTCACAAATCCTGTGGTCTTCCCAAGGAGAGTTTCAAAGCCCCTGAAGCCGAGTGACCAAACCCTGGATCTCAGCCTCCCCTTCCCATGCTGCAAAAACCAGACATGAGAACCACGCAGAGCTCGAAACCAGCAGTAAATAAAAAGAACCACCAAAATGTAGCCCTGGAAAAGCACAATTTTTAAGTTAGTTTTTTTCAGCTTTAGGGAATCCCCCCTGAATTTTGGCAGTGGCAGTTCCTGGTTGTTTTCCCCCCCCTGCTTGTTTTACTCTTCCAAGGGAATGAAATCATTCTTTAGCCACTACCAGCATCCTGTGCTCTCTGAACCACCCTGAGCGCCGAGGGGAACAATCTGCCACCTTCCTTCCGAGCCTGATTGCTCAGAGCAGCTCTGTGAGACTGGCCAAACGAAGCTGAAAGGTGCTGCTCAGAAATGCAACTGAAACCAATCCTCACCTGCTCCTCCACCCGCCAGACAGAAATCAGGAGCACGGGGCGGGAAGTGTTGATTGTTTAAATCCCAGCTAGGTTTGATTTCCTGACAAGGCCTGCTGCTAAACAACATCTTGGCAGAGCAGGGGTGGCCCAAGAATCCAGGGGGATCTGTGCCATGAATCCAGGGGTAGCCATGACCCTTGGAGC